TTATCTCTCAGGGGTGATTTAATGTGTCTAATTCTGTATGGCTTCTACATCACCGTTTACCCACACATGCACATATGGTATTTGGGAAAATACGCTGCATGTACAGTGCATGCACAGGAAAATGCAGAAGACATCTGAGTTTATGTGCATATGCCCACGGACAACCTTTCATTTATATTGGTGGCTGTACGCAGCACCTGTAGCTCCACAGGCACAGGTGGTGGAAATTTTATACAAGAAAACTTTTCAGCATGTAAATATCTTTGAGTATGGGACATTATAAATGACTGGGGGAAATTACATCTTTCTCTTTGCTAAACCATGTCTGATATGATTTGAATGCCAGTATAGAGTTGGTGTGCCCTCTAATAACAATTCAAAGGAGTTTAAGACTAAGAAGAAAGATTTTTCTAAGCATGGCATGTGATCCAGACTGCTTGTAGTAGGCCTTGGCCTATATGTCCATGAACATGGTTTTCATGCAGATTGGACAACAATCTCATAATTATGGCAGCAGCAGAAACCCTACAGCCAGCCACTGGTGGGAGGCAAAATCAATCTGACAGGTTTGAGAACCTTGTCCAATTGCTCTTCTTCCCCTCAAGATAAAACTGTCCTCTAAAGTCTGAAGCCACCTTAAACTATACCATCAATGTGTTATTTACATACTGGAAGGTGAAAGTGACTGATCACCTGAATCACAACATTAATAATCCTAGGCCACAATAAGCAGCCTAGGCCAAAGGGCACCTTTGGCCTTGTCATCGTAGATTAGTAGTACTTGTGTATGCTTGCAGAAGGTTCATATAGCCCACTGTTAATAAGAAGACATTTGAAAACAGAATAAATACCCAGCCAGGGGGACTACCTCATGTGATTACGATGCAGCGTACCTCCACCAGTTTTATTTCTTTCAACTAAGTATGCAGGAAGCTATGACAGGCATAGCAATGTCACCTTCCCATATACTACAAGGTATTACAGCACTGTTCTAGTAGTAGAACTTTTATATATTTATGTTTCATAGCTCTTTAATAGTCTGTGTTTTATATAGTCAGGGATTGTATTTTAGCTGTTATTTTCCGCTCAGAGTTCACACACTGGCAGACCAAACTGCAGCTGGTAAATATCTCTTCACAGAAGAACGTGGCTAGAAACAACGCAACGCGCTGTGCCAGCATGGGGGCGTCGAGTGCCAGCTCCCTGCTGCTGCCAGCTGAAGGAAATGGGGGAGCGGACACACTCCATGGTCTCTTTGTAACTCCTTCACTGCCAGGATGACCAGCAAAGGAACCACTTTATATGAAATTCAGCATCCTACATATCTATTTATTCACTGTCTGTCTATCTTTCTTTCTTTTATCTGGCTATTTTTCAATCAATCAATCTACAGTATCTATCTATCTATCTATCTATCTATCTATCTATCTATCTATCTATCTATCTATTTATCCTATGCCTGTCTGTCCAGATATCTATCTATTTGTCTATCTATTCTTTTTCCATCTGTCCAGCTATCTATCTATCTATCTATCTATCTATCTATCTATCTATCTATCTACAGTATCTATCTTTGTTTCATTTCTCTTGCTATTTATCAATTTTATGTCTCTGCAGCTATCTCTATCTATCTATCTATCTATCTATCCTATACCTGTCTGTCCAGATATCTATCTGTCTATCTATTCTTTTTCCATCTGTCCAGCTATCTATCTAACCATCCATGCATTTTCTATTTCTCTTTCTTCAGGTCTATCTGTAAATCTGAAGTTGTTTCTCTCTTTATGTGTCTACCTGGGCTGACACTGATTATGTTAATAAGTAAATGTTTCAACTTCCAAACAGTACTATATTCATGGCTAAGATATAAGAATGGTGAAGAGTAACTATCATGAGTAAAGGAGGTTGCCATTGCTGACCTCTGCTTTATAGGTCTCATGCACACAGAACATTTATTTTCTGCCTTTAAACGCCCCTCTATGTTAGCCTATGTGTCCTTACACACATAGGCGTTTACAGGCAGAAAAAAAAAACCCAGCAGAGCCAACACATTCAGGAAGGTGTTTTGTCACCAAAAAAATGCCCATTACGCCTAAGCGTGTGTAAACGTATCAAAATGTATCAAAATGCACCTAAGTGCAAGGCATGTTTAGTGCCATTGGCCATTGAAATGAATGAATGTTCAAGCGATCAGTTATTCTAATGGCCAAAATAAATTAATATTCTTGCAAATGGAATGAATGAATTCCTAAGCACTTGACGCTCCTAAAGGCATCAAGGGGAAGAAAAAGAAACATGCTGTGAATGAGACCTAAAGATGCCTTCAAGCAGAACTGTCCAGTGTAAGAAACCGCAAGCAGGCAGGCTTTTATTGCAGTAGAGACATGCACTGTCTCTTCTGAGATAAAATGCCCCTACATGCCTTCTAGCTGTCCTGTGAACTGAGTTGTGCATGGCCGGTGTCTGAGTGCCGGATGATGGCCTCCTGCGCATGCTCAAGAGCAACATCATCCCCAGTTGGCTATTGTATTGGCACTCAGAAGAAAATGATAGTTCTGGCGCAGGACAATTAGACAGGTAATTATTAAGCATTTAGTTCCACTTTCAGTTCTTTGAATCACAGATGTGGACAAGTATGTAAATAATGACTTCTGACTTTCCAGATCTGCACGCCTTTTCTAGATCAGTGACTCAGAAAGTATTATAAAACATAAATACATAACATGACTATGTAGCTCTTTCTTCTAAAATTGAGAATTATTTATAATCCATACAATACAGAATTCCAAGCATTCCATTCATCATGCCCAGAGGTCCGTAGTTCTGTGTGTGTCTGCATTTTCTTGTCTCTTGTATTCCTCTCTCCACCCCACTCCAGACATCCTTTTGCATGCCACTTCCATCCAACAATAAAATGAATGAGACTTTGGGGTCAATACATTTTAATTCGTTAAATGAAGAAAAATGCAGGATTGCAGACGGCATATAAAGATATTTATGTACAGGGAATAAGTGCTCCAGAGCTTCCCACTGCTAACACATCGCCTGTCAGCTTCCTGATGGATGCTGTTTGCTAGCTTATTTTGCAGGTCCCCATTACAATTAATATATTAATTTGTTTCTGTGGGTTTCGCACTGAGATTTGTTTACATTTGTCCAGCTCAGGTCAATACGCTTGTAATATTTCATCAAATGACAGAAAATCTGTTCAGCGACAGTCTTTTTTTGCTGATTCAATGTATCTGCAGAACATTGCGCTTCAAGTCTTCTCCCATCAAACATCTGCAGCACTTCTCCCACAATGCTCTTCAATTGACCATTGATTTATTGTTTACAGCGTAATCCTTTTATTGCATCTCGGTCAAGCATGTTTAACAAGGCAAAGAGCAATGTGCAAAGAACAGTAACCCCAAGATGCGATCAGGATGTATCACTCATTTAAAACCTGACCAATGGATACTGTAGAAAGCACATTATCGCTGCTATTTTCAAGGACTTCTAACCAGCCCATAGATTATGCAGTTTTCTTTCTTTCCACCATGGGTGGAAGGAAAGAAAAATTGCTCAATTCCCAGGAATCCCTCCCGCAGCGCTATTGTGTGCTGCAGGTGGGGATTCTTCCCTGCGGGCAGAACAAAATATTAATTGTTGGTGGCTATATATATAGCTGCTGGTCGTGAACACATGAAAGAAATCCAAAAGGCTAGTAACAATGACTTTGATCGATGGATCAACTTCAGTACAACCAGCCTGCCCAAACTATAGATGGATCAAATCTCAGCCTGCCTCTGCTGAATCGGGCAAGATTCAATCTATCTATGGTGGCAATAAGGTTTATACACACAGGCATTAAAAATGGCAAATCAGTGCTAAGGATTGATATATGCCAAATACGTCCACAAAACCTGGTGAAGATCTGATGTGTTGAACCACAGGCAGTCACTTATACAATGTTAAAAATTAAAGCTGAACTCCAGGAAGGAGTTACAGTATATATACTGTGAAAAAAGGCCTTTTTGTTTGGCCAATTTTGTAATCAGGAACCAGTCATTCTAGCCACATGTATGACATCACTTTTCATCACTGCAGTTAAGAAATACAGAAACACCTCCCCAGACTACTAACTGGATGATGTAGAAACATCACCTTGTAATGTAGTAGAAACCAATCACTTATGCTGCACTGCTCACAAGTGCTCACAAAGGACAAGAGAGAGCAGAGGGACAGAGAGATGAGCTTATCAATCTCTTGCTTCTCCTTTCACTGTTCATCCACAGGCTGGGGGAGGGATAAGACCTGTATGTGTTACCCAACTATAGCAGATCAAAACCAGGTCTCCTGCCATGCCAGAGAGGGCTGTGATGCCTAATAGAGCTGGGTAAATTTCAGGATGGGATGGAAAAAATACAACTCTTTTAGCAGACAAAACAGACCTCACATATGCATTTAATCTGTGTATTTAGTGGTTTACATGGAGTTCTCATTTAAATAAAAAAATATCCATTTTTATTAAACACATAACTGATTAAAATCGTGGGTTTTATATCTTTCTGAAGTTCAGCTTTAGCATGGCTTGAGTGTCTTTGAGTATTTTCCCCTCTTTATTATTGCACTGTTCTCCCCAGGAGTCACCCCTCCTCCCAGCTGCAAGAGTGCTGACCAAAAATGGCGGCATTTTTACACAGCGTGAGCTTCTGTTTCCAGTGCCTGTGTAGACAGTCATAATATAAGCCTGACATTTTATTTTCTATTTATACATATATTAAACACACGAATGGCCCACCAGTCCCCTTTTATAGCTATATACAGGAATCTTTCCTACTAGAACCAAGCAGGTGATTGTACAGTTTTTCATCAGTCTTTCCTGTCTCCATTGTGTCTGTCTGTCATAAGCGCTCTGGCTTGCACTCCATCGTGGAGGGTTTGCTCAAGGTATATACATTTTGTCAGTCTGTGTCACCATCCATGAATAGAAGATTTCTATGTCCATTGTATCACTGTCAGAATAAGGCAGTGAGATAGAGAATGATGCCAATGTAGAAAATGCTCGCCTTGTGGCAAAAAGTACCCGAGTCTTCATATATCCTTAAGTCTGGTGAAAGGTCTGCGTTTAGCTGTGACTGCAAAAACAAAAGGAAAGAGTTGTAAGAGGTATATGGCAAACCAATAGAATCCAACTGTAAAACGGGACATGAGATTTCCATAACACAGACCAAGATTACAACATCATTTACATTTTCTATAAGATATGTAAAAACTCTGTTTAGAAAAATAATTGCCAAAAATAATTGAGTCCCTAAATTGACCAAACATGTCATAATCTCCTTAAATCTGTACAGTCTCATTTAGTTTTCTCAAATCTATATCATATAATGGCATACCTAAACAATGTACCCAATCTGCACTACATAGCTATTGGTGGATTTAACTGGAATATTTTAGGATTATACTTCAACTGTACTTTTTAGCATAAGTTCCTTCATGAAGTACAAGTTAGTGAAGGTAAAACTGGAGACATAAGAGGCCATAAAAGGGTTAATGAATGGAGCTTTTGAGAAGAAAGGGGCCTATTTATTGCATGGACAAGACAGATGGGAAGGAGGAGCAGTAGGTAGGTCTCTGGGAAAGATGATCAGTCATTTTGCTAAATGAAAAGTTGCATCATCCACCCATCTGGATTTTGGTATGCTGGGGATAGAGTAAATAAAGAAAATTGCAACTGGAAGAAAAAGACTAGTAGTAAAATTGGCAGCTGAGGATCCCACTGGTGTTAAAGGGATTACCCATGGTGTGGTTTGTATTGATGGTGCTCCTCAAGACTAAGTTGTCATCAAGGCAGTTGGGTGCAGCAGGAGGGGAGGCTAAATATAGTGGTGGTTTATGTTGGTGTGCCTTCTAAGACCCTCTTCTGTTTTAATCATGCCAACTGGCAAAGAGTTAGCTCATAGTTGGTATTCATATTTATAGGGTAAATATTTTATACAGTTGTTTTGGTCTATATATGTGTAAATCAGGGGTGCTCAACCTTTTGAAGAGCAAGGGCCACTTAAGTGATTTGGTAAACAGTTGTGGGCAACAATTAAATGGTTCAGAATTTCACATTTTTTATTTTGAATAGCATAATGAACATTTTCCTCCTGCAGCCTCTGAATACTGGCAGGAGGGAGAGGAGGAGAAGCTGGATTTAAATGGTTGTAGGAGATGCACCCAAACCCACAGGATATAATAGAAGTATATGGCTCCATGCAGCTAACCTGCAAGAAAGCTGCAAGTGCACTGCGCTGCACCCGTGGATCAGTGTCAAAGCAGCCTAATAGTTGTTAACCCTTTCATAAGTGCTAAAATGCTCACTACAAAAGCACTGTGTATGTGTTGTTTAATATACTGACCTTTTTTTCCTCATCCAGCTTCTGCTGGCATCACTCTCTGTTTCCAGGCTGCTAGACAGGTCCCAGGCAAAGTGCACATGATATCACTCCACTTGGGACAGGACCTGGTGCTACAGAGGAAGCATTGGCTTATACGGCTCCTGCTCCCTCCACTGCTGGCCCCAGCGCAATGCACTCTGATGCTTTGGGATGGTGAGTTGGCAAGCCCAGATTGCAATCAATGGGTTGCACTTCCCTGGTTTGAAGTTAAGGGCCACATCAGAAGGCTCCGAGGGCCACATGTGGCACGTGGGCCAAGGGTTGAGCTCACCTGGTGTAAGTTATGTTAATGACAGGACTGCTGAGACCAGTATACAATCTATATTGCATAGTGCTGTGTATTTTGTGGCGTTAATAGAGAATTGTGGGGGCTAAGCATATTTGGCGAAGCCTCAAATCATATTGATATAGTACAGAATAAGAGTGTTAGCAAATGATCTTTTTGAGAATAAGAAAACCATAACAAAAGTAACAAAATGAGCACATAGGGATATAGGATTCAGAATGGATTATGGATCTATAGGTCAGCATCAAGGTGTTGGGGACAAAATGAGATACAAAACACAGAAAGAAGTTGTCTGTGAAGGTTGTCATTTGTCCAGGTCATGGTGTATCTAGTAGTAGTTTGTACCATTCAGCTGGACTTCATCTGCATAGGTGTTGTATTCAATTCAATATATTTGATTTATACTATATGGTTTAAAAGCAGGAATTTGTCATCAAATTGCTAAAATTCCATTATGTGTGGAAGACAGGTTGTGTGAAAAGCCCCAGGCCCTAAAGAAAGGATTTAGCAGTCTTTCCACACCTTATGGAAAAGGGAGACACAAAAAAGGCCATCTACATCAAACTGGAACAACCATCCCTGAATGGGGTGTGGGGCTTAAACACCATCTGTCTTCTACATATAATGCCATTGTAACAGCTTTACCCTGGCGATTTGACAACAATTTACACCTTAAGCATAAAAATCGAGGAATCGCCACCTTTGCAGACTTCCTGACAACAAGGATGTGATTTTGTAACTAGAATATGGGGTGTGGCGGACCGCCTTGCACCCTGCCTAGGTGCTTCCATGAGAGAATTGCTTCCTCACCGCTGGGACACAGGACCAAGGCATTATAGCTGGGCATTCTACCCAAGAACTATACAACACTAGCTTAGGTGCAACTGGAACTCTTTACTGAACAGAAATACAGGTTTTTATACACTTCAGAAATAGGGACAGTCCCCACATGAACAATAAAAATAAATATTACACATTGTAATAAACATCCCACGCTGATTAGGTAATGAAGTAAAGTTGACACAAGTCTTATCCTATTATGTAGGAACATCCAGGAGGATTAGCCAACAGAAGAAACAATAGATTTCTCAACTACCTCAATTAAAAATGGGAGAAAGACACAACAGTAAACCTCAATAAACAGATTACAGCAAGAGACCTCAGCCTCAGTTTGTTTTGAGCTGATTATATTAACATCTGCTCTGAGTCTAGGAGGAGATTTTGAAGCAGTCAATGCTTGTTTTGGCACAGAGACCCCACATCTGTATCCAGGTCTTCCAGTTCTCAGAGTCTGTGTGGTTTGGGAAGACATGGACTTGAATCTGAAGTAAAAATACTCCAAAAGGTCCACCAGGCACATACCTTCCATAGAATAGAGCCCCTTCAAACGCCAGGGCCCATAGTCAGTAGGCAAGATGCTAGTCTGCAGTCCCCTCCAAAAGAACCAGCACATGTATCGGTGTTCCATGGAAAGGTCCCGATCTCTTCTTGCGATCCAGACCTTTCTGATCATGTGACCGCTGTGGCAGCCAATCACGGTGGTCACATGACCCTAAACCCTGCCCAGCCTCCCAGCATCAGAAACCCCTTAGAGGACCAGGAGGCACTGGCACTAAAGGGTTAAGAGCTGATTTACACATGTGTGGTGCGGATTGAAGCTCAGGTTTCTCAGTTAATTGATACAGTAGTGGTTCATCGGTTCATATCAGGTTTACATCAAGTTCAGGACAGGATTAGCTCTCAGGATCTTATCTTGTTCACACACATGCCGTTTAGAGATGGTGTCCATAAATGTCAACAGCCTGTAATCCACACCTGAACCTGACCGCGCACTGCTCAGAAGTCAGACACGACTCTTTTTCAAACCTCACTGAATGCGCAGCGCCAGTGCACCAAACATATGTGAACAGGCACCATAGGAAGCAATGCTATTTCACATGTCATGCGGATTGGATGCTGTTCAAAAGGCATCCAATACGCATATATGTGAACCAGCAGAAGAGTCTGTGCTACCTGTGTGGATATAAATGTTAGGATATTTCCTGACTTATTGGAACTGAAAAAGTGGCTTGCAGAAGGTAGAACCCTCATCAAAATTAGAGAACACGTCCAGTTGAAGGTGGTTGACAACTACTAGCTACATAAAGAATTTGTAAAATGCAGAATCAGGACATAGGAAAAGACAGGCTGTAGAGATAAGAACTGGCATTTAACAGAATGAGAGAGTAAAGTAGAGAATAAAGGTGTAAAGGACCCATTAAAAGTACCGAGCACCGTATGAAGATGTACATGCTGAACCAGGATATAAGGAATCAAATAGAGCTATAGAACACTGAATTGGGTTTAGGGAACAAAATTAGCGTAAAAAAGCACAGACTGAGGAGCCTGAAAACAGAAAGAGCATACAGGTTGCCTACAGAGAACAGAATACAAAATGGGGACATACATAATGAAAATGACAGTGTGAAACAGTGAATAGGATAGAATAACAGAAGTATACAGCTCACAATGGGTAAACAATACAATGCTCCATACAAAAGCGAAAACAGGGAATAAAGGAATAAAATACAAACTAGGCAAACTAACAAAGGAGTAAAACACGGAATGAGGGCATGCACTACATGCACTGTGATTACCAAACAAAAGAGTTAAAAAATTCATAAATGCACATAGGTAGATTATAATGAGTCTTCTAGAACCCAGGAACATAAGTGTAGTGTGCAGGGTACATTTCCAAAACACAAGAGTTCTCATTATCAAAGTATTTTATAATAGCAGCCTAAAGGCAACCACGCTCTTATTTACAGTTGTCATCTTTGAATTCAATTAGGAATCTCCTGCTACTGGGTAACCCAGACTGGCACCACAGAAGGCAATATATACAAAGGATCTAACCCTTTTCTATTCCATCCAAAACTAAAAAAAAAATGGTTAAAAGGTTTTGGGGCTTCAGATACACTTTAAGATAATAAAATAATTGTTTCTTGTTTTTTTTTGGGGGGGGGGGGGGGGGATGGGAGAGGTGGCAAACAAGGCATACTGTCTTATTTTTGGGCAAAAAATACATATCAAGATGAAAAAAACTGTTATTTTTCTGGCTTGACTAGTGTTAGTTTTAAAACAAGTACCATTACTGTAGATGTAAAGTGAACATTATAGTGTGTACATACTGCCTTGCAGTACAGTGATTAGCACTTCTGCCTAACAGCACTAAGGTTGTCAGTTCAAAACCCAACCATGGCACTACCTGCATGGAGTTTGTATGTTCTCCCTGTGCCTTCGTAGGGTTTCCCCTGGGTACTCTTGTTTCTTCCACATTCCAAAGACATGCTGGTAGGTAAAAATGGCCCTAGTATGTGTATGTTTGAATGTGCGTGAGGGACCTTAGATTGTAAGCTCCTTGAGGGCGTGGACTGATATGTAAATGAAGGTGCTATTAGTGGGATGAAAAAAGAGAGGGGTGTTGGGAGGCTGGGGTGGAGGGCTCTCTGGGGAGGAGGTGGAGGGGACCTAGGATGCTCTTTGAGAGGGAAAGGGGAGCTCTGGGGCTGAGTTGCTCCTGCCACCCTCCGCATACTCACAATTTAGATCTCCTTCTCAACGACCCACGAATGAAGGCAGCTTCTCCTTCTTCCTGTCTCTGGTCACGTAGTATGTCATTTGGCAAGAGAAGACTGGAAGAGGGGCAGCTCGTCCTCACTCCCCCCAGCACTACTGTACTGAGAAGCCGGTTGATTCTCCATGGGGGCCCCCCCTCTACCTGTTCCTTCTGTCCAAAGTAAACTGCCATAGGAGTGAGGAGAGAGTGGAATCCACCCTCCAGTACCTATCCTGGTCCCTGCTCTGCAACAGGAGAGATAATGCAGTCACTCTTATCAATCACCAGAAAGCTGGAAATCTAAGCCCAGCACCCAAGAGCTGGTAACCCAAGCAAAAAGCCTGTATCTCTGGGCGAAAGTTGGCAAGTTCCCAAGTAGGTGCCAAGGTAAGTGAAAACTATCTATATAAAGATATTAAAAATGCTGCGCCCTGGGTACAGTTTAACTTATGTCATGAACAGACTAAAGTTTACCTCTTTGATCTACACCTGAATGAAACAGAATAAGAGCTGATTCACACATGTGCGGTGCGGACTGAAGCTCAGGTTTCACAGCTAACTGACACAATAGATGAGAACAAACCACTTCCAATCTGCTGCACTCCAAACAATCCACTTTATTGAACTAAGATAAAACCAATACAGACAGTGGAAATACAATATATAAATACAATACACATTATTAAGCTCTGTCTTTATCATGAATTGCGTTTACCTGCCAGTCCCCCATTCTATTTCCACTGTCTGTATTGCTTTCATCCTGGTTCAATAAAGTGAATTGTTTGGAGTGCAGCCGATCGGAAAGTCATTTGTTCTCAACTATGCAGCACATGAGCTAGGCTAGCACCTACAGGAGGAGTTGTGCTTGGAGATTGAGAGTATCTCTATCTTGAGCAGCGGTAAATATATAATTGACACAGTAGTTATTCAGCGGTTCATGTCAGGTTTACATCAGGTTCGGGACAGGATTAGCTCAGGATTTAAATCCTGTTCACACATACAGTATATGGTTTTAGAAATGGTTTCCATAGAAGTCAATAGCCTGTAATTAAACACCTGAACCTGAAGGCACTGCTCAGAAATCGTACATGACTCTTTTTCAAACCGCACAAAATCTGCACTGAATCCACACTGCCAGCGCACTGGACATATGTGAACAGGCACCATGGGAAGCAATGTTATTTCACATCTCAAAGTGCCATTTTACGTGGGACTGGCTGCAGCTGCTCCTTTGATGCAGATTCTAATTGGAGCCAGGCAGCCATAGCAGGGAAGAGGGACAGGGCACAAGAAATATACCTAAAGCTGGCCACACACTAGTAGAACTTTCATGCTAAAATTCTCAGTACATTTGATGGCTTGATGAATGTCGTTTGAAAGTACTTCAAAACTTAAGTATAATTATAAACTCATGCTCTGCTATACAATACATATAATAATAGAAGAGATTCGATTGCTGCACTCACTCCCCAAGTGTACTCTCACTCAAAATAAATAAATAAACAAAAATGTGGTGCGCTAACTCCTCATAAAAAAATAAATAAAATTAAATATAAAATAATAATTATTATTATTTTATTTTTATTTTTCTGAGTTAGTGCACAACACATTTTTGTTTATTTACTTCAGAACCTAGTTTGCTTTTAATTTTTGATTTTGGAACAAATGAACTAATACCACATGCACTGTTTGTTTCTTTCAGGAAAATTTTCTATCCTGCTGCTTTGAATATTCTCATCACTGCATTAAAAAAATGAATTACAATTTGACCCCACTAATAATTAGAAAATGAAAAATGTTTTAAATGTTTTTTTTTTTCATTTTCAATATAAAGGATAAGTTCACCTTTTGGGCAAAAATAATAAATGCACATTTTTTTTGCAGGTAAAATGTGCATTTATTATTTTTGTCCAAAGGAGCCTGGAAATCATTGCACCAGTGATCAGTAGATCGCTGATGCCATGCAGGTCTCCTGCAGACCTGTCAGAATATCTGCTTGCTGTACGGGATGTACTGCCAAGCAGATATTCTGACAGGCAGCTTCAATGAACTACCACGGCTCTCCACAGCGCCGTGGTAGTTCATTGAAAACTACAAGCCCACAGCCGCTAAGGCTGCCGGGACTTGCAGTCCATTCATTCATGGAAGTCCATGAATGATTGACGCAGCTGTGTGGGCGGAGTCCATCATGGCTGCGCTGTTTTCAAATCTGACAGATAGTACAGGGAAACATCTCCCTGTACTATCTGTCAGAAGGAGAGGGGGTGGTGGACACAGCTCCAGCTATGGGAACATATTACATGTTCCACCATAAAAACATGTGGAACATGTAACATGTTCCCAAAGGTGAATTTATCCTTTAGCCCTCATGTACACTGGATGTTTAGATAACGCTGGTAAGGTTAGCTGTGTAAAGTCACGTTAAAAAACGTGAGTTTTTTTCAGCTTTTTTAGCCTTTTTGCATTAGCGTTTAGTGGCGTTTTGATGCGAATAGTGGCGTTTTTCTGCGTTTTTTTTTTTTTTTTTTCCGTGTTTGCATTTTTTAGGGGATTTTTTAATAAAAAAATACATTTTGGTGGTAAAAAAAAAAGTCCAAAACCGCCGGTTTGCAGCGTTTTACCACGTTTTGCCGCATTTTTCATTTACAGCTAAAAAACTCCTCTAGAAACCAGCTAGTCCTGGATTTTTTTTTCCAGCCAAAAACCGCTCCCGCCAAATAACGTTGATTACAGTCTATGTGTGCATGGACACATAGGATAACATACTGAGGGGTTTACTAGCTGTAGAAAAAAATGTCAAAAGTCAAAAGGAGCAGCTGTAAAAACGTCAAGTGTGCATGAGGGCTAATAAACAAAATTCTACTATCCTAGCCAGTTTTTTAGGACACATCTGCTACGTGTAAGGTCCAAAACAGGTTAATCTGATAGCATTTTGGAGTCAGGATTGCCTTTCCATTCTTCCTTTGTTGGAAAAATTGACAAAAGTTACCTAGAGGCTTTTCATTTGTCTTCTTCTGTACCAAAGCTGTAGGAGTTTGAAAGGGTAAATGTGAAGGTTATCATTCCTCCTAATTATATAACTACGGAAAACTTTGATATTAAAAAAAGTTAACGTGATTTCTATTACAAAGGTACAATAATAAAAAGCGTACCTCAGAAACACAGATTGTGAGTTCCGGGGAGCTGGCATTCTTCATATCCTGCAACCAGAAATTATAGATTTTTAAAGCACACCGGCTACACCTCGCACAATGGTAGAGATCATTTTATGAACAATAAGAAGAGTAAAAAAATCCGCTCCAGGTGAGTGCCGAATCTCATAACCCCTCCACAGACATGCAGGTGCTGGCCTGATCCGTGATCACAGATGCAATGGAAAAACAGAATAATTGGCTGCACAAACAGCAATGTGGAGAATGAAATCCTTTATTGGAATCCTTTATATGCAATATGATAAGAACATGACAGCTCCAAGACAGGACAGAGGAGCAGTAGACCTGTCTTGGAGCTGTCATGTTATTATCATATTGCATGTAAAGGATTCCAATAAAGATTTCATCCACCACATTGCTGTTTGTGTGGCCAAACATTCTGTTTTTCCAATGAACAACAAGAAGGAAGCAGTTCAAAGGGACCAGGTGAAGTCTTTGCTGATATTTAAGTTTGTGTCCATCAGATGAGTTGCTCCCTTACCTCTGTGAGTGATCCATGTGCTGCTTACCTGGAGAGAGTTGCACATAGCGGGGGTTGGCCTCATAGAGGGTATTGCTGTCACTCTGGTTGTCTGGCAGAAGGTTTCTCCTCTCAGCCCAGGAAGAGATGGTGGTTTGAGGGGTTCTAGGGCGGTTCTGTTTGTGGACAACATCTGTTCCATTGCCAAAGGCTTGTATTGCATTTTCTAGTAGGTCAAGAAAAAGCTTTATCAGACTAGCTTGCAACAAAGGGGGTTTTAAAACGTATATTTCCAAGGTGTAAGTAGCTACTTTGTAAGATCAGACCAATGGATTTTAATCTGTTCTTTTTTTTTTGTTAACAGAAGGAATGTTTATTGAGACATAGCACCAATGTACATATGAATCACAGTAACAATACAAAAAGATTCACAAGCTTCAACAATCCTAGATTGTACGCTCCGAGGAGCAGGGCCCTCCTATCCCTCTTGTATTGAACTGTATTGTTGCTGTATTGTCTCCCGTTACATTGTAAAGCGTTGAGCAAACTGTTGGCGCTATATAAATCCTGTATAATAATAATAATAGATATCAAAACGGATAGTAAATGGTACATGAAGCACATAGTCAAGCAGAGGTTATCCAGAGAACCCAAACAACATGTTCCAACGTAAGACTACATTTCAAGGATACTATCCAAAACCTTTTCATTCCAACCTTCCAATCGCAGGGGTTAAAAAGAGAAGAAAAAAAGGGAGGAAGGGAAGGGGGGAGGGAGAATGAACAGGAGTAGGGAACTGGGATGGGGGAGGACCAGTGGGGGGGGGGGGGTAAAAGAGACAAGTGTGGGACGCATAGAACAGAATACAAAAAAATAGGTAAGGAGGGGCCATCACCTATATACACCCCAAAGGAGGTTTCTTACAACTAAAGAAAAATGATCCATAGCCAGAGTATTACATTGTGAGGTTCCTAGCTTCTACCTAAGAGGACCATATTTATTGAATTTTTTAGGGCAGTTGTGCCCCATGTAGGTCACCTTGTATAGGGGTAGGGTGCCATTGATCATAGATTTCCATGCGGAGACCATTTGGGACATCTTCTATTTAGACAAAATAGTTTTCCTTGCATAATATGTAGCATACCAAGTAGAAGAATCAGGGGATGCACCATAATTTTGACTCCACTAATTGCATCAATGTTGGCAACCACCGCCCGCCAAAAGTTTTGAAACAGCGAACAGGACCAGACCATATGGATACATTTCCCTACCTCTCGGCTACACTTAGGACAGGTATCCTCATTAGTATGGTAAATGGCCAATTTAATATGATGTTTAAATATCAGTCAAAACTTTTCTAGATATGTTATCTAAGTAAAACATTCTAGAAAAGATCCATGGCAGAGCATTTGTTTCTCTGTCCATTCCTTGGTGCCTGTTGTGCCCCTGTGTACAGTGATTTATTTACCCGTCCATTTACCAGAAGGATCAATGTTACTTAGATCAGGATGAATGCATCTCCAGGGCTTATAGCTATAAGCTGTTAGTATTTTTTAATGTGTTGTCCATATACACAGGCAGCTCAAGTTTAACAGATGCAATCAATGCCCATGTCCTAGATGCAATGTGGGCTTATTTATACAATAACTATATTATATTTTGTGTTTTTTATTACAGAGCAGTAGTAGTAGAGTATTTTACAGTGTTAGTTATGGATTTATGCACAAAGTTTGAAATTTAAGTAAAACTCTCTTTCACAAAGATATTAAAGTTACAAGTTTTCTGGGTGTCTTAGCTCTCCTTCTTCAGGCTTTATACATTTCAAGCCTGATGAATGAATGTAAGTCCTCCTGAAAGCTTGCATCTTTAATAACTTAAAGTGATACTAAAGTCTTTTTTTAAATACATAACAAACATGTCATACTTACCTGCTCTGTGCAGTGGTTTTGCACAGACCAGCCCGGATCCTCCTCTTCTCAGGTGCCCCGCTGATGCTCCTGGCCCCTCCCTTCTGTTGTGTGCCCCCATAGGAAGCAGCCTGCTATAGAGGCACCTGAGCAGGTGCACTCCTGAGTGTGTCCATTCACACAGAGAGCTCTCCTGATTGGCTCACTGGCCGTGATTGACAGCAGTGTATGCCAATGGCTCCCACTGCTGCCTCAGCCAATCAGAAGACAGAGTCCCCGGATAACCGAGGCTCTCGTGAACATCACTGGATCGAGAGCGGGCTCAGGTAAGTGTTGGGGGGAGGGGGCTGCTACACACTGAAGGTTTTTTTTACCTTCGTGAAGAGAATACATGAAGGTAAAAAACCTTGAGCCTTTAGAGCCACTTTAAAGTGTAATCTATGATCAAAATATAAAGTCATATATTCATTTCCACAGTGTATTTTAATAGTTTGTAGTCGGCTCCTATTAATCTGAATGATCTTGTAAACTTTCGTTGTGAAGATCCCACACATTTACTTCCTTGAAGAAGTGCAAAAACGCACAAAACCCCACCTGTATAACTGCTTCCATAAGCACTTATTAGGTGTGAATGAAGGTAAGACTACCAGATCCTTGTAATAGAAACAGGGATATTAACTCCCCTCTTCTCCTTTTAAAAATTTCACCAAGTCCTTCAAAAAGTCCTTTATATTACTTAACCACTTGCCTACCAGGCACTTTTACCCCCTTCCTGCCCAGGCCAATTTTCACCTTTCAGCGCTGTTGCGCTTTAAATGACAATTGCGCGGTCATGCAACACTGTACCATATGACATTTTAATCATTTTTTTTCAAACAAATAGTTTTTCTTTAATCACCACTGGGGTTTTTAGTTTTTTTGCGCTATAAACGAAAAAAGACTGAACATTTTTAAAACAAAATTCATTTTTCTTCATTTCTGTTATCATTTTGAAAATAAATAATCTTTCTACACAAATCTAGGCCAAAATGTATTCTTCTACATGTCTTTGGTGAAAATAACCCAAATCAGTGTTTATTATTCAGTTCATAATAAAGTTATAGACGCCACAAACTATGGTATATATCTAAAAATTGATAAATCTTGATGTACTGACAGCTGATCTAATTTCTTGAGGCCCAAAAAGAACAGGACAATACAAATACACCCAAAATGACTGCTTTACAGAAAGTAGACAGACAGTCTGAGGTATTTCGTAAGAGGCATGGCGAGTTTTTTGAAGTTGTCATTTTTTGTCATAATTTTGTGGAAAATGTTAACAATTTGTTTTTTACACACTGTCACCAATGCAGTACAGTGTCATCATATAAATGGCGCAGTGATGATCAGGAACACACACTGGCGACAGTATGTAAAAAAAAAAAAGAAAAGATATTTTTTATTTTTATTTTTTTTAATTTTATTACATTTTAAAAAAAATGTTTTACTATTTTTTTTTCTACTCCTGTGACCAGAGCAATACAATGTTACCATAGTAACATTGTATTACTCTGGGCAAGTGATCAGTATTTTTTTTTTTTTTTTACACATTATGATCACTTATACCAACAAATTACATTGGTATAAGCAAGCATTTTTACTGAATGAAACTGATTCATTCAGTAGTTTTTGTTGTAATCAGCTGTGATTGTCCATAACTGATCACATGCTACAGATGGGCTGTGATTGGCCCAGTCTGTACATGTGATCACTGTGACCAATCACAGCTTGCAGCACAGATTTAAGCAGTGAATGACATGAAAGGAAGCCATTCATTGTTTACAACTGTCATGTAATCTGCTGTGATTGGTCACAGCGATTACGTGACACTGGCAGCAGGTAGGAGTAGTGATCTGTCATCGACCATGTCTCGTGGACACAGCCAGTGACAGATTGTGCCGGAGCGCAGCCTGTGGGGCACGCGTGAAGCGCGATCAGGGGAGGACGTCATATGACGTCCTTCCAGGATAATAATTCCCGCTCGACAGGAAAAAGTTAAAAGGTAACTCCACTTTTGTGGGAAAAAAATGTAAATAAAAATAATAATATAGCATATACAATTGCTACACTAGTCATACTGCAATTGAATGTTATTAAAAATTATATTTTCTATTCAATCTCCAATGTTCTGTAAAATCCAATGCAATATCGCAACCTGGAGGTGTTCTGTACACAGATGGTGTACAGAACACCCTCCAGAAGTGTCATTTCCTGCTTGTGTGATTGGCTTACTGATTTACCCAGAAGTCTGCACTAAGATACAAGCCAAGATTTTAGGCATCCCTGCAACAAAAAATGTAGATTTTGCTGAGATACCCCTAAAAGGAAATCACCTCTAAAGAGATGCAGACCCTGCCTTTTTCCCCATCAGACCCCCGCCTGTGCAGCAGCTGGTTTTTAATTATTAAAATCACACTCACTTTGCTCATGGACACAAACAAACATATAGTTATTTCTTCAAAATAACAAAAGTTAGAAATCCCCACATTTCCCTGCAGGAGCAAATTGGATCATGCTTTGCTGGTTTTTTTTTTTTGCCTTTCTCTGGATTAACTGTAGGTATAGAATTATAACTTTTCTTTTTTTTTTTTAATGGTTGAACTGGATGGATTTTTGTATTTTTTCAGCCAGACTAACTATGTAAATCTGCAATAAGCTTTGTTAAAAAATCCCTGCAATATATATAGATCACCCATCAAAACTGGAGTTACTCTTGAACATCTTCCTTGTTCCATACATATTAAAATAAAATATAGCCTACTTACGCAGACAGCGGTTCTGAGTGAACTCTTTTAGGTATAGTTCACACTGAGTCTCCTGATCTCCACTACCCTTACAAGAACACCAGGGCCCAATGGAAAGTAAATGGGGGTCCGAGTCCAGGAAGTTCAGAGCTACATCATACCCTGTGGGAAAAGGAACAGTAATGCATACTGAGTCTTAAAAGCTAAGGATGGCAATACAATATACTGAGCAGAATTATTATTATGCTGGGATTAGCCACACTACAAAGATGACTTACCGATCAGCCCTGCATAAGCTCCAAGACATGCTGAGTAGTTATCACGCACACAACCGCTCGCAGTCTGAGTAGAGCTCTTACAGTTAGTAACAAAGTCTGCCAACCGAGACCTGTAAGTAGAGCAGTACAAAGCTGAAAAATCATGAATATGTAGTGTATGCAGGTAAAAGCAGATAAATGTTTTTTTTTTTTTTAGTGTGGAATGGTTAGATCCACTGTTCTTTGTTGATGTGATCCTCAGGAATTTATTGCAAAAAAAAGTGCACTAGGTAACTAGGAACATCAACTTTAGTAAACAACTAATAAAAGAAAATCCTTTGCAATTAAACAACATATTAGGTAAATTGGGCTCTGTAGTGACCATCTCTTGCCTGTAAGTTTGGGGAAGGGAGGTGACTTACAGGCGGGGCATTATAGTGAGAACACAATGCAGGGGGGGGAGGAAGTTAGGGTAACAATAATTTGTGCTTGGACCGAGAGCTTTGTGGAGGTGGAGGGATGGGAGGCTATTTGTGCTGGAAAGGTTGAAGGGGAGGATATGTAGGAGGAGGAATGGGAGCGGGGACATTTGCTAGGAGGGAGGAATGGGAGGGATATGTGCTAGGAGGGGGGAATTAGGGGGGATATGTACTAGCAGGGGGGATGGAGGGGAATGTGTACTAAGAGGGGGACTTGGGGGGAAAATGTACTGGGAGGGTGGATTCGGGGGGGTATGTGCTAGGTGGGTTTGGAGGGGGGAATATGTACTAGAAGGGGGATGAGGGGGATATGTACTAGGAGAGGGATTTGGATTATATGTACTAGGAGGGGGGGGATTGAGGGGTATATGTACTAAGAGGGGGGATTGGAGAGTATATGTACTAGGAGGATGGATTGGGGGTGTGGCGATTGTGCGCAATAGAGGCATGGATGCTGTACATGACAAGCCATCTTGTTAGGTCGTGGCCATGTTGTCTCTCCTGTCCTCCCTCCTCCCTTTTGAATGGAATGTGGGGCTGTGGGTGGACGGAGGTTAGGAGTGCCTCTTGTCCTAGATAAACACAGCTAGATAAACTCCAGGGCTGTAAACCCCTAATTAGTCTGGTTCCAGGGGGTCTGCTTGAAAACCACTTTCATCTGCCCGATCGTAAAACAATAACTCAGTCAGTCATGACCTGTTAGGCCATTAGAGCTAGAGTGTGCCATAAAACATACATTCTACATGAGTCATTTTTCATACAAATTCATAATTTCAGCAGGAACTGGGCACCTTAATATGAAGTACATAATCGGATAGGTCATTTTAATATGAGTCACATGACACCTTGCATCCCTAGTTTAGCACCTACAAAAGAAAATAAGCAGTCTCTTTTATCCGGAGTGACAAGATATGTTAAGTTTGGCATATGTGAGTTTAGAATATAATTCTAAATATTAATCTGCCACTTGCTAGGATGCTACCTGTACCTATTGAAGGTTATTGATCCTTAGTATGAAATTGTAAGGGATTTGGTCATAACATTGGTTACCTCCTAACACCCATGCCCAAACTGGATGATTGTCCATTTGTTCTCAGGAGAAACCCCTTTGAGATGATAGAAAAAGACTGACAGCCTGGAGAAAAATGAGCTCTCCTTTAACATCGATCAGCAACCATCTCAGAGACTTGAGAGCAAAGCAGCCTTTTCTTCAGACACTTGGACTCTGCTCAAACCAAGGACTTTTGCAAGTATTCTGCCTTCTGAAACTTCTTTCTTTTATTTCTCTGTTGTTTTATTGCTCTCTTTATATCTTTGTTACATCTTTTTCTGTAAATATTTTAATTGCACCATTTTGACCTTTTTAGTAATAAATCCTATTTTCTGAAAAGTGTTGAACTGTCTCTAAAGCTTTTAACCACTTCCTGTCCAGACGTTTTCACCCCCTTCCTGTCCAGGCCAATTTTCAGCTTTCAGCATTATCACACTTTGAATGACATTTGCGCGGTCATGCAACACTTTACCTATATGAATTTTTTAGCATTTTTTTGAGACAGATAAAGCTTTATTTTAGTGGTATTTATTCACCCCTGGGATTTTTATTTTTTTTGCTATTTAAATGAAAAAGTTCAAACATTTTGAAAAAAAAAATTGTTTTACTTATAAAATGTTGCAAATAAATAATATTTCATCATAAATCTTGGCCAAAATTTATTCGGTTATCTTTTTAGTAAAAAAAAAAAAAAAACCAAATTAGTTTATAACCAAAAATTATAATTAAAAAAAAAAAATGTTTACATTTTTTTTTTTAATATATTATTATTTATGTTTTTTTTTTTTTTTTTTACTTACTGTCACCCTAGCAGTACAGTGTCGCCAGTGTCACCCCACAAGTAGACACTGTACTACTTGTGGGGTGTGATGTTTTTTTTTTTATTTTACACAGATTGCTTACACCCATAAAGGCTGTAAAAGCAATAATTTCTCTTTCTCTCAGGTTGCATTCTTACAGCCATTGAGAACTACTGAGTGAGCTGTGATTGGTCACAGCTTGTCACATGGTACAAGGCTGTTGTGAATAGCCTTGTACCATGTGACCTCTGTGATCATTCACAGATTTCACATGTAGTAAGCAATGATGTCACAAGTGACATCTTTGCTTACTACTCTGCATATGATCACTGATTGGCCAATCAGGAAGGGGAATTTTTACAGTGTTTGGAGAGAATTTTGGCTTGCAGAGGGAATGTATGTTTAGGGGATGAGCATGCTAATCAGCACTATGGATTTTTTTTGAAAGGGAGGGATTTATGCTGAGACATGATACTCACATATCGAGGGAGTGTAGTGTGTCATTCTCTCCATGAGCACTAGATGACCTTGCCTTGGCACTGTCCACACTGCACACAGGGTACTCAGCAGATCTCCTCCTCCCCACAAAGCATATAGCTGAGATCTGATATCTCCATACAAACACAGCCTAAATCTGTACAGTGTGTACCTGGCTGCTATGTTGCAGTTTTGACTTGCAAAATTCTCAGTCAGAATGGCAGCTGCAGTAGCCATCTACGCACTGTGCAGATGGAGGCTGTGTCTGTAAGGTAATCAAATCTCAGCTATGTGCTCTATGTGGGGGAGGGGATCTCAGTACCCAGGCTGTGTGCAGTGCGGGGATGGAAGGAGGATCTTTGCTGAGTGCCCTGGCAGCAGTGACCCTGTCTTCTTCTCTGCTGACCACTGTCTTCTGCCCTGCTGACCCCTTTATAATGCTCTACCGCCCCCCATCCTTACCCTGTTGACCTCTGTACACTGCTCTGCTGACCCCCATTCTCTGCACTGCTGACTGTTGCTGCCTGCTGACCTGATAACCCCTGTTCTCCACCCCGCTCCCTGTCCTCTGCCCTGCTGACCCCTTGTACATTGCCCTACTAACTCTTGTACACTCCCATGCTGACCCCCTGAACACTGTCCTGCTGCTCCCTGTCCTCTGCCTTGATAGCCCAATGTACACTGTCCTACAAACTAATGGCCTCTGTACACTGCCCTACAAACTGCTGACCCTATCCTCTGCCCTAATGACCCCCTGTACATTCACCTAATGACCTCACATCCTCTGCCCCCCTGACATTTTTTACTGCACCCCCACATCAGACAGGCTAGATCGGGCCCTGCTTGGGATATTGTGATATGCCTCTTGTCATATAAGCATTGTCAATAGGCTGTGGTTGTGAAAGTACATTTCTTTTCTCTGCATTAAGGTATAAACATTAAAGTAAAAAATCTTACAATAGCAATGCCCTGACTCCTGTAGTGCTTGGCTTCAGTTATTCTCTCCCCTCTACACGCGCTCACAAGATTGGCTGAGAGCAGTGGGAGCCATTGGCTCCTGCTGCTGTCAGTCAAATCCATTGACCGAGCTGTCTATAGATGCATACAGTCCTGCTCGGGATGGAGTCTGCAGAAATGCACTTATAGCAAGTGGTTTGCTATGGGGCACTCGGAGAGCGCCAGCTAGGGACTCCAGAAGTATATATATATATATATATATATATATATATATATATATATATATAGTGTAGATAGATAGATAGATAGATAGATAGATAGATAGATAGATAGATAGATTTATTTCCACATCAGCAATAAAAATCTGAGAGATAAAAAAAAAATCTTCCAAGGCATGTGCCCAGCTCTTAAAATGAAATGTGTTCCTATATAAATATAATAATAAGAGATGGTACTCCTGGTGCTGTGTTACCTGCACACTGGGTCTTGTCTACAGTTGCCCCAAATTTCCAAACAGTTAGGAAGTTCAGGGCGAATGAAGGAGCAGCTTGGCACTGTGGTCTGACGTCTCCGCTCAGCACATGGCTTATCTTTGCAGGGGCAGAAGAGGAGTGGGTAGGTCAGGTTTGAAGGAATCTTCTCCAGGAAGGTGCGGAGGGTCTTGTGACACTTGCGAAGGTTACACTGCTCATCAACTGGAGGGTTACAGGCTGATATGAAGGCAGAACGGAACTTCTTGCAGGCATCATTCACATTGCAAAACTTGGCTGCATCAAGGCAGGCATTCTGCCTGGATACGGATGGTTCTGTGCCTGCAGGTAACAAGGCAAGTTGTCATTCCAAAAGATATATTCTTTTTTTACCATCAGACATCATGTTTCTCAGTTCCATTAAAGAACAAGATGACAATATGGCCTTTGATGAGGGTATTCTTTTCAAGGGTAATACCATTTTTAAAGTACACCTTCACATTCCTGTTAAATTTTATATAGTGAGGCAGAGCCAAAAATAGAATTTAGTTTCACTACCTAAAATAGTTTGCTACCAACTATATCTTGAACCTTAACATTCACACAAAGTCTTACTCAGATTTTGCTAATCGCATTGGTTGGTCCAAATTTACTACACTATGACGTTTGGTGAAAAGTAGTGAAGTGACCCACATTCCCATCCAATCACAGGCAAGAGAAACTGTTGGAATACAGTGTTCATGTATTTTGTGCAACAACTACATCAGTATTCAGTAGAGATATATTTCTCAACCAGTAGATGGCAGTGTTTGTAGCTGTATCTATGATACACTCTATGTCTTTTCTCTGAATAAAATTTCATGTTTCCTTGTTGCAATGAAGCAGAAAAGCACATGAGGATTGTGCACTGTCTGTTCTGAAGGGCTATAATCAGAATTTCTAACAGAAACTTTTTTTTTAAGTGCCCCTGTCAAAAAATAACACAAAACAAAATAATAAATAAAAGCCCTATTGTCTTTAAAAGAAAACTGTAAATAGTTTGTCACTTTTCCCCTGATGTCCACTGGGAACTAGGAAACTGAGACTTCCAGGAATGTAAATCTCCTGTTTCCCCTATAGATCTTACTAGTTCCTCCTGCTAATCTACACATTGCTACTGTGTTCGCCAATTACATAGTAGTCAGCAGAACTAAACAGTATGAGGTACAGTGGATCCAGAAGACTGATACTCCTAGAAGTGATGGTTTCTTAGGGGACTTTGGTGGACAAGAACTTGTGAACTTTGTTGTTTGTGGCGTGCCTTGTGCTTTTATCAGGAAAGGTAAGCATTTACAGTCTTTTTTACAGGTGGTTTTTCTATTTATTTTTCACATCAGGGTCCATGTAAAATCCTCTGCATGGGACTGGATGTTTATGTATGTAGCAAGTAAATGAATACACCTCCCAGTAAAGCTATTACTAGGCTACAGCTAGAGGGAGCTCTAATTATTTGTAGTGTGACTTCAGGAGACTAATACCAAAAAGTTCACATTAAACTAGGAATGCAAGTGAGCAACACGTATTTGTGCTCTCCTCTTTCATACAGGTTAGTTTAGTATTTAGTGTTTAGTATCTTATATGTTAGTAATGGTAACTCTCTAATACAAATTGATGACCTGCATTGCCACTATAAAGAAAATCATAATCTGTATAGTGTGATCCATTTCTGTTTAACACTTTAAACGTGGAATGCAAGTGAGCAACACATGTTTGTGCTCTCTTCTTTGATGCAGATACTGCAGGCTGCATCTTTGTCATATCTCACACTTAGATCACCAATAATCCTGTTACACTTCACCCAACGTCAAACATCGGTATTTCAGGCTCATTATACGTACAGATCTCCAACAGCAGCAAGCATTGAACATTTCTCACAGAGAATAGTAAATACTTTAAGAGACTGTAAATGGGTAAAAATTTTACTCCTTCCCTGCTTCACCAGAAGAGCTGTGCTTTAACCTTCCTAGCGGTAATCCCGAGTGTGGCTCGGGGTTAATTTACAGTACCAAAAGCGGTAACCCCGAGCCACACTCGGAATTACTCTATAGTGCTTCTCCTGTGATCCCCCAATCCTTACCTTGTCCTGCGATCCGGCGATGTCCTCCTGCTCTGTCCTCCGGCCCATGCCGGCATCTATGTTCCTGGTGCCGTTCCCTGCGAGCGTCGGTATGCAGGGGGCGGAACCGGCGGCAGATTCAAAACAGTAAAAACATGACATACACACAATACATTGTAATCTGTTAGGATTACATTACTGTATCAAACCATTTCACCTAAATTTTGTCCCTAGTGCTTTGTCCTGTGCCCTGCCTGCACTTTTACAGTTCTTTCTGCCTGGAAACTTGAGAACGTTCATGTTATCCAAAAAGCATCCCTTTAAGTCAAAAGCGGTTTTAGACCAGCTAGAGAACATTGATATTGAATTAGAATCACTTGCAGAATTGAGTGATAATGATTCGTGGGGAAATTTGTCATTAGACACTGAAAACGATTTGCGACTGAACTCATGTGTGAACTTGAAAATTCCAGTGTTTTTGGTTTGATTACATTATTGAATTAAAAGTATTATTATTATATTATTACTTTTTATAATTATTTATTATATTATAATTTATGATTTTGTGTTTCAAATTTTATCATACCCGGAATGTTTACTAGACTCTTGTTTGGACAGATTAAGTGAGTTATTCCTAAGAATTACAGGCCTACAATATAAAACAACAAATTTCCATGCAAAACAATGTACCGCTTTGACAATCAAAAATATTGATTAGTTAGACCGCGAGGGAGGTTAAACCATTAGTCCAGTTTTAGCAAGAACAGTATATTTGCAGGAGATACCCACAGGATCTGTTTTGCAGATATAATACTGTATGAAAAATGTACATCTATCTATGTGGAATCCCTAGTTCATTGAACATAGGATATCATTCATTTTATTTGGAATCACTAGATCATTGCACATAGGATATAGTTCATCTTAAGTGAATCTAATAACGGAGGAGAAGAGTTCTGTAGTCATCTAACGAAACCCCTGCTGTGTAGTCATCTGGCTGCATTGGCTTTTCAATTCAGAACTGAGCTGCCGGATTCTGATCAGTCTAAGCCCTCATTCACATAGGCACTGAGGCCCATAGACCGTGAATGGGACATGTGTTTATGTGGCTTGAGATGCCAGGTGCTGCATGCAGGCAGCCCATGTGAGTATATGCGGATACAGCAGCTGCACAGACACAGTTGCTCATCCCAGTCTGACAGGCATGAGTGGCCCTGAACAAGCATGTGTGACCATGAGGCCTTACTGGCCCATAACAGGGCAATGTTAGCAGCCTAAATAGCAGACTGAAGAATTGTGGGAGTTCAGCCTTGGTCCTTGTAAAGCTTTTCAAACACCTTAGGATGTGATTGTCCAATATTTTTAAATTTACCACCAAATATGTAATGCAAATGTCTAAATGATTAGATACAATTTGAATAGATTGTTTTGGTAGGGCTGTACAATCTGTACTGGGAATGGTTAGCATTAGAAAGACTGTGGAAACATCAATGGTATTAGATAAATATTGATAGACCTGTAAGCGTAAGGTAGACCATACATTAGGCAGTTTTTTTGTTCAACCAGTGAGTTGAATGAAAAAAACAGACCCGATTCCCTCATCCAAACACTCAATGTGGATGGAGGATTTTTCCCACTGAGTCATTGTATTCTGGAAGCAGGGAGGCTTCCCCCGCTGTCAGAAAACACAGATCACTGCTGCAGGCTACAGCTGCAGCACTGTAAGAGTGGAAATTTTTGAACAGGGCAGTTGAACAGAACTCAGTCAGTGGTTTGAGATCTGTTCAACCACAGTGCCCACACATGGATCGAAATTCGTCAGGTCCTGGCTGAACTGGCCAAATTTCAATTAACATATACGCAGCCTTACTTTTTGCAGTAGAGCAAAATCAGGTCTCTGCTGTGTAGCAGAGCTGTGAGAATATTAAAAATGAATGGATATCAAAAATAATCCTCCTCAGTTATATATATTTAATTTGTGTATTTAGCTGTTTGCTTGGAGATCATCTGTAAGGTAAGCACACTACTACAATATTACATGGCACTGTGGAATTGGTCCCCATCCCTCGCCGTCTCTAGCATCTTCTTTTTTTTCTTCTCCCGCCTTCATTGGCTGACATAGAATAATGGCACTGCGCAGGAACAGGAGCAAGTCATCCCCACACATAAGGTAAGGGCCGGTACTGTAAGCTGAGCTGTGCATGTCCAGCTCAGTTTACATTGCGGAGCCCACTGAGAGCAGGCAGGTAGGTGTATTTTATTGCAGAAGAAGCATTGCATGTCTCTTCTGCAATAAAGAACTGGCCTGCTCACCGTGAATAACAGCGAAACTTTAGCTCTGCTTTAAATCAGCTAAGTACATTCCAGGTGTCCAATACATTAGGGTTCATTTTCCTTCTTCCATTTGTTCACTGTGGGGAAGCAGTGATCTCTATGCAGAGGTCCAACACACACCCTATAGTTTTAGACCCATAGACCTGTAGCTATGTTAGAAAGAAAAAAAACTATGAGACTTTTGTTTTAATGCACCTGGAATTCATTTAGCTGATTTAAACTGAAAGGTCAATTGGGCTTCAATGAATATAATGTCTGACCATACACCTCAGAGGTAGGTTTAGGGATGGATATACCAATAAGCAGTAGCCCTGTGCCTATAAGTGGCAGAGGCACAATGGCAGCTTTTTCTATGTTTTTCCACTAAAGTCATTTTTTCATCATAAGTACGCTAGCTCAGCACAAGTACAACAAGAAATTGTTCTCTATAAAACAAATAATCCTTACTTTGGGTTCCAAACGTTGTGTACAACCGGTGATAGAAATCCAGCCATGGGCAGGTCAAATGTTGATTAAAGATCCAATCAGTTTCAGAATTCTAAACTACTGTATATTTAGAAAACAAAAAAGACTGGAAGTCTACAGTATATAAACTTTGGCAGGAACACCAACTAGCTTAGAAGAGCATGAAACAACAAAGCTTCCTATAAATGTCATGGAATCAAAAGAAAATAAGATCAAGCAATGATAATTTGCTTCTTTAAAAAGCATCAAAACACAACTCAATAGAGGAATGAAAGCAACCCACATCCAAAAGTGTTTCATAAACTTTATCAATTTAAACTAAGCCAATAATTACCAAGCCCCCTAGTTTGAGAACTAAAGTTACCCTTAGTATTGCTCCAGGTCTGTAGAGGTATCATAAATATCATATCTTTAGGAGATATAGATATTGAGTTGTAGAGAGTCGGGC